GCTGTTCATCGCAAATGAAGCGCGCGCTGGCAGCGAGCGCTGTCGCAGTGCAGGGTCAGGATCAGCGGAGCGCCAGCTAGCGACTCTGATGCGTACGAAAGAGGGGCCGATGAAGAGGTCCAGGAGCAATTAAGGCTTGGCAGGGGAAGCAAAGCAGGGGTGAAGAGGGGCGGCCTGGACTGGGGTGATCGCTTTCTTTTCGCACCTCGTCCACGAGATCAGACGAACAACCATGATTTTCGCTCCCGCTCGGCCGCCGTTTTTGCCTGCTGGATTGGCTAATCAGGCCCCACGAGAACGAGCGGTGATGCGCACATGCTCAGACGCGGCCGTTGTCCAAGCTGCCAGCCAGCGTCACATCAGGCGCTCTTCCCGGTTGGCAAATGCGAGGACCCGACGATGCCATGCGATCAAATCGTACCAGACTGCGCAGCTCCATGATGGTACGGCGGCCCATGCCGAATAGAGCTTGGTCGCCGGGCTGGCCATGGTGCACTGGAGGCTGGGCGGACGGGGGTCGGCGACGCTGGCGGCATGAAGCAGATGAGAACGGCGAGGAGAAGGAAGAAAACTGGTGGAGAGAGGTGGCGTCTGTGACAGTGACAGCCTGACGACGTTGGGGCTAACGTCTTGGACACAACGATCTCTGGAGGTCGATGTCAGGGGGCTGTCCTTGGGTCGGGCACTCTATTCCAGGCGGACTGGCTGTCATACGTATCAACTGTTGGACTTCCGTGTTGACTTAATCTACCGTAAAGCCAACGGCTGCGGGGTTTTCGCAGGCTTCCCGTCTGTTGAAGCTTCCGAGGTGTTGTCCAGCCATCATGGCATGCTCTCTACACCCATGAGTATAGTGGCGGCGCTATGAAAGAAGCTTACTTGGATAGTAGGCCATGTGGTCGTAAAGCCCCTTGGGAAAATCCCAGAAAATCTCAGAAAATCCCAGCGGTCCCATCGACCACGCCTGTATCAGAGGCCCACTCTCTAAGGGGGTAGACGCTCGAAGCAGGCTGACGAGAATAATGACCAATGAGGCATCACCTTCAATCGATATACCCAATCCTATTCGCTCCAATAGTCCCAAGCTCGAGCCGCTGCTCTCCTGAAACAGGGGACGGGGGAGGGCGTCTTTGGCTAACCCCCTCCCCGTACTGACTCAATTTACCTGCAACTCGCGGCGGCCTCGTCTATCCTTAGTGCCCAGAGCCCGATGCAGCGCTCCACCTCAATTTCGCACTAAATAATGACGTCGATCGGGTTGCCCTACCGAGATTGTAGCCCAGGCGCTAGCCGCCGCTGTCAAACACTGCAATCCTTTCTTTGTCTTCTGTCTGACCCCTTCTGCAGTGTGTGCTGTCTCACAAGATGGTTATCATTATGTCTTCTCCTGACACTGTTGGCTCCGCCGGCATGTCACCTCAGGGTAACTTGCGGTAATCGAGCCGACAACGCCGTACTGTTGTTGCCCGTGGGGTCCGGCCCTCGACTTCCCTGCCAGCCTCCATCTTTATTGCGCGTCTACTGCACCCCGGGACCTCGCTCTCGGTCCTCTTGCCTGCCTCTTGTATATTGCCCTCCACCAGAAAAGCCTCTCGGCAGACGGTTCTTTACCCGCCTCCGAGATGTCGGCTTCTTGGGCGTTCTTGGTCGTGGACAGCAGCAACAGCGGTACGGCTCGTATGACTATGATATCCCCCACGTCGCACCCCCGTTTGTGTCCTTGGTACTTTTTCTTCTGCCGGCTTCAATGACAGCTGAGCCTCGCAAGTGCCGGCATGCTTACTTTGTGGACACGGACGAAGTGACCAAGTTACGGATATGGAGGTGTGAAGCTGAGGTTATGCGAAAAGGCTCCACCAGTTGCCATTTGGTACCGAGCTGTAGCACGAGCATCTCCCGCTGTCCGTGGACTGATGCTGCGTTGATTTGGAGAGACGCCCGACAGCACTGTCGTGGCAGATACATCGGGACTCATGCAATCATAAGATGTGTGGTATAGGTGTTGGCTGATCCGATGTCACTCTACTCCACACAGCCAGTCGATCAAGGAGTGGCCGCTTGATCAGATGGATGTCACCACAGCCATTCATGCGACGAAAATTGCGCATTGATATTGTGCCGCACAAGATCGGGACACTCTAGTCAAATATTCGATATTGAGGAGGATGTGGCGTTTCCAGGGTTCCTGGCAATTTTGACCGACTAGTCAAATCCGCACACCACTGCCTCAGACAGAGGGATGATGAAGATGTGCATTTCAACTTAACGCCTGTTCCTAAAACGCTTGTCTCCACGCCGTCAGCTAGATTTGAGACCAGCCGATCGATGGATGAGTAATCATGCATGTTGATGTTTGTCTCTGGAAGCTCCATCTCGACAAAATGTGACCGACTCTCGTTTGAGGGAACTGAAACATTATGGGGAAGGCTTTACGGTCCGCTTCTGAGCTTGGTTGTCTCTGATGTTCCTACCAGGACGAGAGATCCACCAATGCGGTATAGTGGTGACAGCATTCTGGGTTCTGACGCAGTGAGAACTCATCTGGATATTGTGATCGCACGAAGATGAATGGCCTAGAGGGAGTGACGCCCTTTTTCTCCATTCCACACTGAGGAGTTTGCAACCTTAATGAACATCTAGCTTCGAAGGTTGAGGTTTAATAACACAAATGAAAGATATCTCATGACATCTTCCTCCTTCCAGTTGCCGGTCCAGGCACTTCAAGATTCCCGGAGTGTCAGGACCATTTGAGGTTGGAGAGAGGGAAAAAATCGGATTCCAGAATCCTAATAAGTAGATTGTCACTGCTGCATCATGATAGCACCTCGGACTAGTGAAGAAGAAAGTTGTCTTAGCCCTGACGACGCATAAATTAGGTGTTCATAAACGACTTAACCTAAGTGGACAGGCGGGATGTCTTAATATGCCTTTCCAGTACCGAGTATACAATAGATACAAAATGTGCTGCGTTGGCACCGCGTTCATCTACATGGGGCTGACTTTGAGGATTTTGGTGCTGAAATCCGTAACATACCTTGCCAGCTGTATACGGATGATGCTGCGCTCGGAGTGTCCTGCCACACATGTAAAGGATGCTGCTGAAATTGTTCAGAAGCTTGGATTCTGGCTGTACCTCTTCGACTCGGGATATTGCCTGACCTCTCCGTGTGCGTGATGGTTCATAGATAATTCGTTGTTACAAAGGTGGCGAGCCCTTTCAAGCAAATTTGGCAAGACCAAGGTTTACTCAGGGGGAATAATCATGGGACTGTATCTGGAGATGCCTCACTGCAGCTTATTGAAGCAAAGCACCTTCGTTGCATATGCGTCGCGATGCAGCATATGGATGCCTGGGCTCGATATACATGCCTATAGCGAACAGATATTGGCTTGAGCAACCTCACCAGCACCTGTCGAGTTCTTTTGAGTCCTCGCAATCTTCATTTCGCCTAAGCGCTAGTACTTTCATTACTCCCAGTATTTCTTTGGACGAGTCGAATCAAAGAGCTCCATATAAAGCGGTTCATCAGCTTGGTTGTCGAACTCGCCACGCCACGTTTCTATACTCTGGCAACTGGGCAGGGTTTGTTCAGGCAAACCGACCAAGTCACCAGGAACGGTCGTTGTCGTACCTAAGCGACAAAGACTAAAATCTCACGAGACCGGGATTGAGCTCGAGACAAAGACAATGTGGTCAGTCTTTTCAGGGAGATCAATCTGCAGATTGCCCAGGTAGTGGCAGCTTCGGAGCAGTACCAGGCGACTTTGTGAGCGGATCTTCGGGTTGACAGGATAAACAACGCCATGACTGTCGAAAATCCATCCTTGGTAGGCAGGCTCGCCGGTACGCAGACAAGTTGAATGGGACAAGACGCGCGGCAAGAGCATAACGTGATGCCCAAGGGCGGGAGCAAGGCGCGGTGCCGCGCTACAGCACTACCAGCAATCTCAGAGCTGCATCTCCATTGTGTAGGCCTCAATATACCTGATGTGCTCAAGTCTTCAGTGACGGGCTGCGAAGTTGTAAAAGACCATGTAAGCCAGACAGATAGGCCCTTGACACCATCCAACACCATGGAATACCGCGAGCATACTTTGAAAATGTCTCGTGAATATACTGGAGGGCTGCACGCGTGCCCACTTCGTTTCGGCATTTCCATGCGCTCAACATTTGAAGCTCGCCTGCGAGCAAATCCAAATGTGGGCAGAGACCTTGTGCTGAAACCCGAAAGACTTACCCGCAGTGCAAAGCGGAAAACGTCTAGTGCAGCTACCACGTCACCTACAACAAATGAGGGGCGGTCGCCTCGTGTTGCATCGTCCCATGGCATTCTCGTTGGCGCGGACGGGACATCGAGACATGATCCTGAAGAACCAATAAAGACAACAACGTGTGAAGGCGGAGTCAACCCGTCAAGCGTCGTCAAGCGTCCAGGCGAGCACACCAAACGCCTCACTAGCGCATCATGCGCTTTTGCCAAATCTCCCAGAGACACTCCCATCCGCTGACTCGCACGCAAATTTGGGGCGCACCACCAACAAACGACCAAGACCCGTCCATGGCCCGTGACCCGGCCCTGCGCATCATCCCACCACACCGCGTGAGCCCGCCAGTGGGAGGGAACCCTCGACCGACTTTTTTTTCTATTCCCTCCCTTCACTGCACCGCGGGCTGCCAATCAGGCCGTCGAGGAGGAGGAGGGGTCCAGGGTAGGCCCCGGCAGACGTCCCAATGCGCATGTAGCGGCGATCATCCAGCGACCTCAGCTGGGTTTAGTCTCAGCGATTCGCGCCTGAAGCGTAATGACACACCAAGAGGGGGACCCCCTTTCGGACGAGGAGACCAAGGAGAGCAATCATTTTAAAGATGGGCCAAGCCCTCGTCTACGTGTTCGCGATGTCGTCGTGCATGTCAAGGCTGTGCGAGGTGCATGCTGTTTCGCAGGATTCGACGTCAACATGGATCGGCAGCGCGATTCCACCATCTCGGGCTACACAAACGGCACGGCGTCGACAGACCCGGAAGCGGGCCGGCCTTCCAACGAAAGCACCGGCAACGCCCGAGGCGGCAAGGAGGCCACGGACAAGCTGTCGGCTCACCAGTTCATCTACCTCTTCCTCCTCGACGGGCTCGGCGCCCTCGTCCTTTCCGGTGGCATCAACTTTGCCATCGCCTACGGTGCGTCCCACACTACTTGCGGTTTCTGGCGATGGCAGGGGAAGAAAAGGCTAGAAGGAAAATGACAAAAGAAAATTGACATTTTCCAGCAATGTACACGACGCAGAATCTCACCAAGAACCCCATCCGTCTCTTCCAGCTGCCAAACACCCTCGCCGGCGACGCGGCCCTGTCGATTGTCCTCCAGTGCGTCATCACGTGGCTCCTCGAAGCACTTCTCGTGAACCGCGACTTGCGCAAGGGCGGGATCCGGCCGATCGGCTTCGTCGCCGAGCCGACGAGCGCATCTCTCCGCTGGTTCCTGATGCTTGACAGCGAGAAGCCGAGCGCGGACGGCGAGAAGCCGTCGAAGCGCGTGAGCGTCAAGCGAGGCGCGGCGTCGCTGCTGCAGCAGGCGCCGCGGGTGTTCGTCATCATCCTGGCCAGTTTCGCGCTCTGCTGGCCGGCGTCTGTTGGCATCTTGCTCGCCGTGGGCGAGAAAAGGGGCGGCGACTGGTTCTTCGAGGCGACGTGGACGCCGCAGATCTTCAAAGGGGTGCTGGGTGGCGTCTTGGCGCTGCTGACGACGCCGTTGATGGCGGGCTATTGGCTCGTCAGGGAAGGCTGGAGGTTGAAGCGGGGAGGCACACTGCTGACATGATGCGGCCGACCATGAACCACGACGAATGACCATGATGATCAACAGCATGCACAAACGAGAACGATAGATAGACACCACCCGCAAGGGATGTACTTAATTTATGCCGTACTTTGATCTGGGACGCCGGTGTGCCGGCTCAAGCAGATGGCTAACGCTGCTGCTGCGAGGGTATAGGAAGCAACAACGCACTGCCAACTAAAACAGGACTATACAACGAAACGCGCGAAAGACTGTATACAACAATGCTCAGGCAAGCTCGGTGGTCTTGCCCTCGGTGGCCAGGTCACCACCGTTGCCGCCGTAGGCCTGCGGCAGCTTCTCGCCGAGACCGTCGACGCTGGCGTCGGCGAACTCGTTGGCGAGACCAGAACCGTAGGTCATGGGGTGGAACTTCTTGGCCGTCTTGGTGGCGACGAAGAGCTTCATAAAGGCGTACATGAAGCCCATGATGGCAGGCACGTTGACGAAGAACTTCTCCTTGAGCAGCTCGGGGTAGTTCTGGGCAAGCACGGCGATGGTCTTGGTGCTCGCCGCCTTGACCTCGGCGGACTGGCGGAGGAAGGAGATGGACTGGTAGTCGTGGACCTGGTAGATCTTGTAGGGATCCTCGGTCGCGGTGATGGGTTTGGTGGCGGCACCAATGTTCAGCGTCTGGATGCCGAGCTCCTGCAGGGCGACGCGCCACTCGATGAACCTGCGTCGTGTGTCAGTTTCGCCTGTACCTGACAGGAAAGAGGCCTACGAGGGGACGACGTACTCGTCGAGGTTGCCAAACGTCTCGGACATGCGCTTGGCAGCAGCACCGTAAATGTTCCACGTGAACACCTCACGCTTCTGCTGGTCGGCGGCATCATCACCGTACGAGGTGACGTAGCCGAGACCAGCAAACTTGTCCTTGGAGAAGGCCTTGGTGACGAGCTCGAGGGGCTTCGCCTGTGCTCGCCATGTCAAGGTCTTGGTGAGCTGGTCAACGGCCTTGGGGACGTCGCCGTCATTGGCGTTCAGGTACTTCTGGAAGACGATCTGCGAGGGGACGTGGCTCTCGGGATCGGCAAGGGTGACACCCCAGATCTCGGGGTGCGAGTGGGCTTTGGCAGCCGCCCACAGCTGCTGGATAGGAGAGGCTTCAGGGGCAGCAGCTTCAGCAGGCGTCGGCTCGGGAA